CTCTGGTGTTCAACAACATCAAATGTCAGTCGATTAATACCATATATTCTTCAGATAAGGATTAATTTTTTTCAAATGGAGCGGAAATTTTTAAGGCACGACAGAGCATATGTTGTTTTATTTGTCAATTTAAACACTATTATGGAGCACTTTGTACTTATTAGAGATGATTAGAATAATAATGGGTAAGAGAATAAATAGGTGTGGAACCACGCAGTCAGCCTGAAATAAAGAGTTTGAAAGCAGCGTTAAGTGACTTTCACTAATTAATACATTTCTGTGTAAATCAATAAGTAATTATTATTTGTATTAGCTTTATAGTAAAGCTCTTACAGCAAAACACACCCTGAAATATTCATATAATTGTACCGATACAAATAAAGAAAGTCATAGATTGGAATTCTAGGTTCATGAATTGGGTCAGTCGCATTAAAGGCTTCATAGCCTTTTAGTACAGATTTGAATTAAACATCTACTTAAACTGTTACCATAACATAGGGTTACTTGCAAATTATATAAAAATATTAGTACTTATATCCTAAAAATTAATTTTCTAAAATAACCATTTTAGAAGGTTTATGAGAGATTGCTGCATGACATTGAGCATGCAAGCATTCTTTTTGTTGCAATATTTTGAAATATTTCAGGTTATGAACACTGTTACTGGAATATCATTATTTACTTACGAATCTGAACCTAAGCTAAATTTATGCAGAAAATCGAAATGTGTATTTTTTAAAGAGCAGTTATTAACAAAATTGATTAACTTTAAATTAAAGCTGCAGATTAGGTTTGGCTGCAGAAAAAGTTCCAATCAGAGATTTTGTTTAAATATATCTAGAGACTTTCATTCATTGCCCGTCAAATTGACTTTGTTTGGGTCGCGTTTGTGGTTAAACATATTTATACTAAGGCTCATTTAACGTTTAATAAAAAAATCGTATGCAAAAAGTCTATTGTATTTAAGTGCAGTCGTTAAAAAATATTCTGTAGTCATTTTATTGGGTCCTGGGAAGTCTGCGAAAATTCTATGTTAATTTTTTTGGACGACCAAGTAAATACTATACTTTTACGTGGTCCAGAACGCCTTAGCAATGATTGAAACAAAACGATGAAATTTTATCACCATTTGCGTATTTCAGTGTCCGTCAGCGCTTATCCTGACGTCACTGTTTATATTAAACTTTTGGTTTTTTTGCCATAGATTCCGTTTAAGACAAGAATTTGTTTTCCTAATTTACACATAGTTATTTTATGAATCGTTTTATTTTCATTTATTAATTTCCCTTGTTTTAGTTTCTGTCAGACATGCCTTATCTAATGAACTTCTCTTCCTCACCGCCAGGGTTATTTGCCTGTCTTGGGTAAATTTTAGTATAATTACCTGCCTGACTTTAGTTGGTAACGCCTAGGGGAAAACTATCGCATCAAAACTTTACAATTCCTTATAGTTTAGTTTTCAATCTTTTAGCTTTGGCATTGGAATATGATAGCCTCTTCCTGTCTTTATTATGAATTAAACATGTGCCCTCCCTGTTAAGAAAGTCGCAGGTTTAGAAGGATATTTTGTGTTTTAAAAATCCGTAAACTACTATAAGATATACTCAGCTGTATAATTTTCAACAAATGTCATCTATTTTCAACCAAATCTCCATGATTCGTCTCCTTTTTGTATGCGCATTTGCGATTCCAGTTACTTCTTGCACGACATTTGACTGTGCAATCTTTTTGCAGGAAACTGATTTACTAACCATGACGAATTATTGTTCGTTTTGCGTTTACGATTCTGAGGCGTGTTAAAATAACTTTTAAAAATTACGTTTTATCGATGTATTGAAATCATTCTTTATGAAGCAAACCGAAAGGGAATCCCAGAATCATCTTTGCGTTTTCGTCCGAGGTAGTAGTGGTTTTAATTAATTTGCGTCGTGATTTATACAACATTGACAAACGTAGTCGAGCTTTTTAAAAACCTTAGTTGTGCCTTTTGTGAGCCTTCTGATGCAATAAAGCTGTTTGAGGATAAAAATTCGAGCTTTCTTTAGCAATATTCTACACCTACAAAAACTCTACATAATGTCATGTTAGTTCTGATTTGGAGGTATTAAATTCAGAACAAGTTTGGTTCACACTAAGGTCCTTACGAGATTAGAAATTAGTAATGAGCTAAAAGGCTACCCGCTTGTGGAAGTGCTGGTGTCGGCCAATCATTGTAACTATGACCAGATTGATAGCCAAATGCTATTATTTTAGTTTTTTTTATTAATATTTATGATAAATATCGCAGATTAAAGATAAAAATCGAGGTAATTATGTGGTGTTAAGTCTACAAATCCGCTTACTATGCTATTAGGTGATTTTTGCAAAGAAATTCTGGTTTGTGACCTTAATTAGTCCTTAAAATATGCAATAATTTTCACAGATAAGTTAGATGTGTGTTTTTGAGATAGAGAGTAAGGCATACAATTTTTTTCCTAATTAGCACTTTTCAAATGCAGATCCCTTGAATTTACAGACGTCAGGTTGTGTTCCTTTTTGGTCTCTTAGTTGTTTAGTTATAAGTGAGCAATTTTATAAGTCGGTTTCACCAGTACAAGTGACCACAACTGGGTGTTCTAAAGTGTACATTTAACACTAAACCGAAATAGATGAGTTATACGTTGAGTTTCATATTCCAATGTTTATTTATCACAAACTGTCCCATTAAATCCCTGTTCATGATTTCACATAATTTTGCACCAGTAATATCCCTTAACATATTTGTTTAATATAACTTTATGACTGAAGAAAAATATTCACGTACATAATCTCAATCGAATAAATTATAAATGTATAATTAATAACGCATAAATTAACTACACCCGGACATCCAGAACTAAGTACCGATACCGCCACCATTACTACTAGAATAATAATAGTAGTAAAGGTAACAATAAAGGGCCATATCTTATGCACAATGTTGATAATTTAACGTTGGACACTTGCGACCCGTAATCCATTTCACCATTCTACTTTACTTAATGCCTCCCAGTTTCATAAAAAAATTTCCTCTGTTGTAGGCAGACCACGTGAGCTACTCATCCGTATCTTCTGCCTCGCTTTCGAACTTGGCAGCATCTTCGGTGACTCCAATAACTTCTATTTCCTTGGCATCGTGTCCGGGTTTTACAAACTATCCCCCGCGACTCCTGGGAAGGTCTTCGAGTGAAAAGACGGTTTATTTACAAGTGGATTCTTTAATTGAACCTGCCAGCATTAAATCTATTAAGTTATTGGTAAGTGTGTCTTAGCTGGACTTCAATAAATCGCTCCAGTCATTTGGCTTTGTGCTAGTTATCACTACAGGAGCTCCGCAATTGAAGCACAAAATTTTTAGGCAACCTGAACAGGAATCTGTTATGTTGATTTCATAGTGGGTGATTAATAGCAAAGCGGATTATTTTAAGGGTTTTTATTTGCATACTTTTCGGATAAAATTCACTTTGACCTACTCAAAACAATGTTTGCATGGTCTATATTTAAAACAAAAACAACAACCAAGGCCACAGTTAAGCTGTTGAGGCTACCATAGTCAACCATATTGCGTCATTTAGCACAGTCAAACCTATCGTCCGGATTTTGGGTAAGCACAGTATGTAATAACGTTTGAAGATGAGCGACGGCAATAATCAAGCTTTCTCAGAATGAAACTAATCCTCCTGCGTGAAATAACGTATGATTGGTAAAGCATACCAGCAGTGGATCATTCTACAAGATGTTGCATCAGCAGCGATAGGCGACCACGTCTTGAACCGGCGGGTAATGCGATGGGACAAATTTGTTAATTGTAGAAGACGCAAGAACTTCATGCACAATGGAAGTGTTGCTATTCCTGTTTACTTCCAGTAATTATAGTATATCGAAGTAAAAATAAACAACAATGCATATGCATCAACAAAATAGGCTTCCCTCACTGTCGGATAACACTAGTCCTTGTAAACTAATTGCACATGATCCCTGAGGAAATATTTAAGGCTTTGCTGTTCCCTTGTGACAGCTCTATTTTGCTCATTCAAAATCAGTTTCCACTGATTTCCGGCTTGTTGAGGGCCCTGGCAGGTCGTCTTAATCCACGCCGGGGCCACTGCGTCAATCTAGGCCGATGAAGACCAGAGGTCGAGGCACAACCGTTCACCAGACAGCTCAACGAACCTGTGTTGTGTTGACTGATGCGGTTGGGTGGACTAGTAAAAATACAGAAATCTGAATGGTCACATGAATAGAGCGGGTGGTGGTGGTGGTGGTACATACAGAGGGGTGAATTATCAGGCGAGCCCTCTTGACTGACGGGCACGCCGTGAAAAGGGGGACGTGTGTGTGCGTGTGTGTCTGCGACGACAGGGTTATTGGACGTGAATCACCAAGTTTCACTGCAGGCTTTTTCAGGTGTCCATTTGTTGAGGTAGTTTAGCCATAAGTCCTTTTTATGCAAAACATTCGGAAATTTATTGAGGGGAAATGACAGATTTTCTTGAAGGTGACAGAAGCTAAAACAACGAAGTCTCTTTTATGCTAAGCTAAATTGAGTTATGTCACACTTAATTAGCTGATTTTTGCGACACGGCCAGCCGCTCTCCTTGTCCACGCTTTTGTGGATGGCCTGAGTGTTTAAAACCCACGATATTTAATACTGCCTACGGATGTTAATGTAATTTCGCATTTCCGTTTTTGTCCATTTTTATTATTTTATCATAGGTTCTATATTTTAATAATCAATTTCCACTTCGTGCCAATTTTTTACGTTATGGCAGAATAATGGTACACCACTTGTGTCGATTTATTCGATTTGCCACTTTTGTGCTGGCCGTGCCGCTTGGTCGTTAGTTTGAGCGCTTTGATCGTGTGTGATCGTGTGGTGTAAAGGCTGGTTGCTAGTCACAATGCCCTCTATCAGCAAAAATTGAGTTATTTAGCTTTAATGCATTGCAAGATGAATTATTTTACTCATTTCTTTTTAGGAAATGATGAATTCTATAGACGATAATAATATGGCCCAAGTAAATTTGCCAAGCTCTTCAAGAACTCGCGGAAGGGACTCATCGGGGGTTAACGGAACCCTGTCAGAAAAGTCGTTTTTTCTGGAAGCAAACCCGAATCCTGAGACGCAAATATCGGACACTGAACTGCAGAGGAGCACAGATTCAATTTGGACCTGGCCGGCCTGCTGCCAGAGAAGTGGTAACGCCTGCGTTGTGCTGTTTTAAGTATCCTAACCGAAATCAAAATATCGAATTGATTTCTGGGGTTCCAGTGTCTCAGTTGCTAGAAACGTTTGTATTTTGGTTGCAAGAAGTTTACTCTTGATAAATTGCTTATCAGCAGTTACTTTTGCCAAGTGGTTTATTTAGGAAGTGTCAATTCTTGAATACGTGAGTCATAATAACTGGTAGGTGGTGTACTGTCAAACTTAGGTCTAGTGAACACTAACAAGGCAAGAAAACAATGTTATTCAACCCCACCGCCAGCCCCTGCCCCTGACCAGAGTTCCACTTTATGGGGGCTCGAGCTCACTCCACAGTCTCTTGGTCCCGGAGCCTTGTCCCGCGACCTCACAACTCCACTTCGTAATGGTACACCGGAAGCAGACTCAGATTCGAGTGCTCTCTCCCAGCATAACAATCATGGTTTCTCCTGCGGTCAAAATCCCAAATTTTCACTTCGTGATCTCTCTGAGGCGGTCTCTCAAGCCGAAAAGAGGGCCCACCAATCAATAAGAGGCTTGAAGGAACAAGCGAGGACCACGTTACGTGCCATGGAGTTGGAGGAACGGCGTCTTCGAACGAGGTTAGAGAGCCTTCAAAATGAGCTGCCAAATACTCGAAGTGAACATCGCAGTCCATCGCCTAGTGGTGTCCCAACTGATCCCAGATCGGGCTTCTATGATTGTCTCGTGAGTTCCAACCCGATGCGCTTAAGTGTTTTGAAGGTGGGTCGGAGCTGTGGTTTTCCATCAACGATGCAAGCTAAATTTGTGCCAGGATAGTCTATGAATCCAGTTGTCAGGGTAGAATCATGTGGCCTTTTGGCATCAAAGTTGAGGGTTACATTGCCCATAAATTCTGGAGTTATCCGTAATGAAAGACGTTTGGGAATCTCAGGACAATAAACATGCATTATAGGGCATCAGTCTTGGGGGTAAGACGATTTTGATGGTTGGTATCTTCAGAATCACAAGGCATGAACTTGGCCTTTATAATTGATTAAGGGATTCAAGAGTGCAAGTGAGGATTTTTAATCTCAGTTTAACCAAATTTGCCAATTTCTAAAATCTAACTGCGAAAAAATGTTGCTTTGAAGCCAAATTACAAAGTCTGGCAACTACTTCGTCATTGTTCGTGCGTATTTTTCAAGCATTCCAGATGCCCAAGTAATCGTACGTAATGTCATCCTTTGCTTACGGTTTGGTTTCTACACAAACTGTCTTCTGTTGAGAAAGGTCTAAGTTAACGCGCATGGCATCAGATTCCAATTCACCGATTGAGCTAATCAAATCGCACTAAAATGACATTTTTTGGTTTTACGGACGTCATTAATTGATTGTCACTCAATGAGGTTGTGTCGACCAACCCAAAGTCACGGATTTTCACCATTTAAACCGCTTGGTTGCTGTCCGATATTTCGTTTCCTACTTTTTCTCAAAAGCGCATGAATTGAATTACAGAAGTATGCACAGCTCATCACATAAATTCAATGAATAACCTGAACACTGGTTCTTTTTTAAAAAGGCAGCTTTTGTTAATTTCTGAAATGTTTTGGGACCAGCATCAGCATGGCTAGTTTAATGTTAATTTGACTAGGCATATTTTCAGCTACTAGTCTTAACACTGCACTGTATGGTAAAAAGTGGCCTGATGTCAGTGTTCAAGCGTGCCTAAGTACAGCGCTGAATTCCACACAAAACTTCTAAGTGACTTCTAACCGGAGCCGTTGTTTCTGCACTCTAGTCGCCGCTTCCATTTTGTGCGCTTTTTGCTAGCAAACCATGAATCTTTTCATTCATTGGGATTTTTACCTGGTCTACAAATTTTGCTACGTAGATTATTTGTGTTCCATTAATCCAGAATATACAACAATGAGTTCATTGCTCATTTTAGTTAAAAAAAAATTGAATTTTCTAGTCACTCGGTTTGTGTAATATTACTTAAAAAATAACGACGGTCTAGTAAAAACAAGCTTTAGTTTCAGTTGTTAAACATTTTACCCTTTTTCGGTACCTCCGCCTATTTTCGACGCATTTCATAAAGAATAATTTTCTCTCCCTTCTTCCGTAGAACGTCAATTTACCAGAAAGTTTTACTTTTGTTTTTTTCAGTAGTTATGTTACGTATAAACATTTGCATTAAATGCTGTACATCATGTGTGCAATTTGACTTGCACAGGAAAGCAAAAAACGCGTTTACTGCTCTTTGGGGTTTGTGTTTGTATGCCCAGTCATAGTTAAGCTCTTGTAGTGATCTTCAAACGTTAGTTGTGCCTTACGAATCTGTGTTGTATGAACCCTTGGGTTATAATTAATCGCGTCAGTGTTTCCCCGGAATTTCGGATAAATTTTTGTCTAGCTGGTAGATTTGATTTGTCAAAATCTATTCTACCCGTGTTACGGCAAAACGATTGCCAGTCACAAGAAGTTCATTGTTTTAACAAATACACAACCTTCTCTGAGATTGCGGATCCATTAAAAAGTTCAGTCAAATTTTACTTTCAATTTGGGACAATTTGGGACCTCTTGTACACTACTAGTGAAGTTGTTCATTTCTCCATCACTAGTGGTTTAGGTAAAGTTGGAAAGTAAAAATTCTTCATTTTGCATTTATTTGTTTTCTCATGTGATGGCTTAACCGCAGTTCTTTAAAATGAACCCAAAATCGCTCTAGAACCCTTTCACTAGTAATGTTATCGTCTACATGCAACACTTACTCTTATGCTAACTCATTTAAGGAAATCTGTTAGGATCTGATGGCATTTCTCTTGACAACTTTCTAATTTAGCTGCATAATTGCACGGTCACCTATCGTAACATTTTGTGCTATGTATCAATACCTGGTTGACAAATAGCGGATAAATTGCAAATATAAGCGGCACGCATTCGCTATTTGTCCAATTTGCTCGTTTCTCCTTAAACCCTAATGTTAAGTTTCTCTAGACAAATTTTTAGCCCTCCTGAATGCCTCAGTTAGTATGTGCCTTGTGTTTTGAAGTTATGTCGCAAGTGTGAAAGGTAAAAAATTATTGGCTAGTTATCACTCATCAAATTAAACTAATGCTTTTAGTGAAATTAGAAGGTGCAACATCGATCATATTATGTTTTGCTATTTATAATATTCCTCTAAATCACGTTTATGATATCCCTTATTTGTTACTGGAAGGCTCCTAACGGATCCCATCACTTCATTTTGAAAAAAAAAACGAATTCATGTATGTGTAATGTACCAATTTGTGTTTGCGAATTCACATCTTCAATCAAAATCAACTCAAACAGTGAGCGTTCGAAGAAGCCACACACTTCACGTCTTTTTGAAAAGACGGTTCCACCGACACTTGTTCTCGTGCCTCATCAAAGCATGCTCTTCAAGAAAAATTGGCTTGTGAATGTTAATACAGTGTAGCCGTTGAGGTTTTACAAACAACATGAGGTTATTACAATTTAAAGTGCACACACTTACGCACAGCAATGGATGATTACAAGGGTTTGTGCAAACGCGTGGTTAGGGGATGAATTCACATGTGGCTAAGGGCACAGACGCAAGCCTGGTCCAGCTCCACATAGTGCTGATTACATTACTCTAATCCTTCCCTTCTAGGTGGTTGTGGGCTTTCTAACGTGCCACGCCGAAAACCTTACATCCTTCATCAAGTAAATTAGTTAATTCGCCACTTTCTGTGTCAAATGTTACCCCAAGCATTTTTAACAATCATGTTTTAAGGAAAAGCAGCAGGTTTGAATGTAACTGACTTGACATTAATCAATTGCAATGCTTTATTGCTTTAGCCTTCTGTCTCAGTCTAATTTGAGCAGACGTTCTGTGTCGGCTTTGATTTCTAAAGCGTGCTTTCCAGTGAGACTGAAAAGGTGGTTACTTTCGGGTTACCTTTAAGCCGCTTTTGCGAGATAGCAACAGAGGAAGCATCTCCATTCCTTCCACCGGGTTCCATCTACGTTTTTTGCCTTGCTGTAACTTACTCGTTGGAAACTTAGCCATAGAGTGTAATGGATAACCTTTCGCTTGACTACTACGCGCGCTCAAGATTACGTTTACACAAGCAGAACACTATTACCACTTTAGCTTGGCATGTTTTATGAGCGTACTTTGTGTTAAATTTCTTCTCGATCACAGCGTAGTGTGTAACACTTTTCTTACAACCTGCAGCCAGTTACGTAATAAATCGAGGAAATTTCGGTTATATTCAAAAACGACCATTCTAACTACATCCTCATGATTTACTGAAGTGTCCAACAGTCTGAAAACCTGGATTGTCTTCGATTAAACATAATGAACAAGCCGCTCTTTTTTTAGTTTTGAATGCACAGTTCCTTAGAAAAGGCGTCAAGCGTAGCAGAAGGTGTTCAGCCACGCGTAGACCCTGATTGCATATTTTTCTGCTTACCTGAGTTTGCCATTCTCTCCACCACTTTCTAAAGAGGTCTTGTAGCGATTTTTTGACGGACTTCTCATTTACCAATTGGCATTGATCAGTGTCTGTCGTGCTCCACATAGTCTGCTTTTGTAGCCTTGGCATTCTTTTGTCCACCGTCGGCGTTTATCAGCCTAATCTGTATTATTTTTGGCTTGCTTGTATTCATAAAGTTCCTAATTGGTTGTGATGGACTTCGGTTCTTCTGGATATGAAGAACATTACTAGCTCCAAAAAACAATATTATCTAGTATGGAAACAGTTGGACATATTCTGCATCTTTTTGGTTCTTGCAAATCTCACAAACTGTTAGTTTTGTAACAAGTTTATAGGTTCTCCATTAGCATTAACTGGGGTCATTCTTTTTCAAGGTTTGTCAACTTTAATTTAAATCAGTCCCCGTTGTCGCTAAGTTGCTGCTGATTCTGTTACTGGGAGGTAGTGTTGGTAACCAACACACAAATTAATCATGTATCGTTTTGATTTTAAGCATCGACTTTTACGGCAGTAAATCAAGTGTGTTTTCAGTCCAGTCAAAAACTCTGAGTGCAGCGCAAATCCTAAAGCAAAAATATCCTCCACTAGAAGCAGTTGTTTCACAAGTCTGATTCTATTACTTAAAATATTAACTAATTTACAATTTCTGGTCGGCTTACGTGATTTTATCAGTTAATGTTCAGGCTCAAGGTAAAAATCACTCCCAGAAACATCGTTTTTCAAGGCGATATCTCGTAGCGCCTATTTCCGATCGCGATTTATGACTACAGGTTTTTGGCACTAAAATGCTTAATTTAAAGTCATAGCCATGGCCATTTTCTTTGCTACAGGTCCTCTTTTCAACTCTTAGTTCAATTCCCAACTACCCTTGAGGTCATCAACTATCAAACTTTGACATGCTCGGGTCACTGCATTGCATCCGGAAGCAGGATGTTCTGGTCAATCCAGCTTAGTCTTTTGAAACTTGCAACCCAGAATCCATGAGTAATCAAAGGTGATCACTACAAAGAACTGTGGATCTGCGTATTGCGAGTCTGTATGACTTGATTTCCCATCTTCAATCAGATTGTGCAAACACAAAAGCATAGTTTATGTAGCAGATATATTTATTTCAACACAAGTTGATGTCAACCATATTACTCAAGCGTCTGCAAACTTTGCTTAACTCAACGTATAAGTGACCAGTAGAAAAACCATATACTATATACAGACGGTATCGGAATCGCACAATTCAGGGCATCGTCTCTTGATGTCTCACTAAAAAATCCAGATCCATTTGAGATACTAGGTTTTTATTATTCTGTCAACCTTTTCAATCAGGAAGATTAACAGTCCTCTGATCACTATGCGGAT